TTGATTCAGTCCCCGAGATCGAATAAAATTTACTACTTTCTTCACAAATTGCAACACATGATTCATTTTTATGATTTTTGAGCACAGAACTTCTTGGTGAATGATGCAGTGAATATGGTGAAACTTACAACTAGGACAGACTTATTTCTGCTTGGCCATTAACTTAGCAACAAATCCGTTCTGTTTCCCCTTCAGAGAAGGAGCACAATCCGTTGCTACACACACAAGTTTCAATAACGGAAGATTGTACTTTTCTAAGATCCCATACACTTCGTTAAAGATATCCTCACCAGTTGTTGTGTTTTAAGAGAAATTATGTATAGTAACTCCTCAGTTATAATTAAGTCAGTATCACAGGCCCGGATAAACACAGCTAATTGTGCCACACCACTAACATCTGCACTTTCATCAACTGCTATAGAAAATGCCGTGAAACTTTTAACTTTTGCCAACAACTGTTCACTTAAATTAGTCGCAATATCATCAACTCTTTCGGTAACAGTGTTTCGTGACAAGGAAATGTTTTTGAAAATTTGAACCTTATTGGGACATTCAATTTCTGCGGTTTTTACAAGACACTCTTTTACAAATTCACTTTCGCTAAAACATTTAGAATTCTTTGCTATAAGTTCTGCAATTACATAGCTTGCTTTAAAAACGGCTTCATTGTCTCATTTCACGTTCGTAAACAAAGACTGTTGCTTGACGAGTGCAGCCTTAAAATCCCGTAATTTATCTTCCCTTGACTTTTCTTTATACTGGTCGTATTTTTCACAATGGGTTTCATAATGCCGTCTTACTTTGTACTCTTTTGGAACACTTATATTTTGCACACAAATCAGACATGTAATTTTACCTTCTGTTTCACAACAAAAATAAGCGAGTTCCAATTTTTCTTGAAAAAACACGGTGCTCACTTTCAATAGTTCTTTTTTTGCTACTTGAATTTTTTGAAAGCGACATTGTTACTGTTTAATTATAACCCTTATACACGTTCATCACAATGTAACATCAGCACCTGTTGCTATATGAAAATGAACTGAATGACAAAGTTTGCTAGGAGCCCATTAGACAATGGCTGGGGTTTGCAAGCTAGTTTTGAAGGTAGAAATCCCTTGCACTTGTCTGTCAGTTGCCACCCTCCTTGCATTCTTAGTATGCCTCCAAAAGGGATTCTTCGAAATACTTGGGGTGGCGAGGCTGTGTGGATTTTAGTGCATTAACCTTCTGAAATACAGTAGTTGTTGAATTGGTGGCTACAGGGGTGGGAGATCCTAATGGGCCGGGTAGGCCATTACTGCCCATCTCAGTTTACACATAACACAGTTGCGTTTATTGCTGATATAATATAAATAAAATACAGTTGCGTTTATTGCTGGTATAATATAAATAAAATACAGTGGAGCTAGTGGAAGATCCTCACTACCCCCGTCCACTCCGGAGGGGCCCAAACTCCGTTCTGCCATATCCTTTTTTTGATTTGGTGGAAGTTAATTTGGAAAGGTAGGGGCCTCCCCCTACCTGAGTGGGGTCAAACAGCTCGGTAAGCCCGTATTCCATTACTTACCGCCCTTTGGGCCCAAGTTTGAAACCCCCCCTTTCTTCCCTCCAAGGTAGGGCCCTTCGGGGCCGGCCGACTGCTCCTGCGGTTCCTTGTACTCCGGCGTCGTCGCTCCCCTAGGAGCCTCCACTACCTCTCTCTCCAATGTCTCGTTACCCACTGCCTCCTCTGGCTATCGCTACCCGTTCCATCCTGCTAGCCCCCAACCCTCCGCAGGCGGTAGGGGGTGGGCCGCGGATACAGGGCTGCCAAGCGTCTCCCAAGGCAGTGTTGCCAGATCCCCGAGGCTTTCCAAACGTAGTTTCGGCCGGAGCGTCGAGCTTGTAACATAGTTTGTCCTTCACGAACATTACAAACCGTTAGTTGGACAAACCCTTCTGAAATTCTCAGAATCACTGTTCCTGCAGCCTGCTAATTTATGTCTGCATGAGACTTCTTGTCTTCTGGTCTGTTGGGAAATTGTTTTTACAAAAAATATTTCTACTAAAATTTTAATATTGATTTTAATATCAATTAGCTCTAAAAGTTGAGGGGCCGCACTTTGTGGCTGTGGGGGCCGCATGTTTGGCATAGCTGATCTACAGCAAGGAGAGCATATATTGTTTCATGTATGGTATTGTACATCCATGACTGACAGAAGATGTGATGCCTTTACAGAACTGTACAAATTCAGAGAAGGTTCTAGTGGGTCCATACGGTGAGACATACGCAGCAAGTCATGATGCAAGCCAGGCAATGAATATAAAAGCTGAGGATGTCTCAGACTCACCAGAGGCATCGTATCCTGTGCGAATAACATTTCAGGAAATAAAGGCTGAACCTGAGGTGAGCTGTATGTTTCTGTATGTCCACTGTTAGGCAGATATCACAAATAGGCAGGAATTCCAGTTGTCTTTCTCATCTTTGTCTGTCTGTCTGTCTGTCCACTTGAAACAACTCCACTGTGCTGCTGACTCGCCTTTGAAGGCCTTTATCTGAAGTGTCTCTAGACAGTTATAGTTTATTGAATGTATGCTGCTTGTGATGTACCACTTCTGTTTCCTTTTAAGCAGTTCTGATGCAGATGAAATTAAATTTTGCATAAATGGAACTGTATCTTAGAGAAATTCTGTAGCAGCAAAATTCCATAGGGAGTCACGGAACTGTTCGCAGTTAGTTAGTGATACACTAGTTAGAACCAAGAATTTAAGTTACTAGGACTCTTGTAAGCTAATTCCAATGAATCCCACAAGATATTTATCATGTGATGAACAGGTTTCAGGGTTCCGAAAGATTCTGCATTCTCTTGCAACAAGAGTGGCAAAAATCATACTGTATAGAGCTGAAGAAAAGTTTCCTGATATGAACGAAAGAATTGTGTTTTGCACTCATGTGCACAGACATGAATTTTATTGTATGTCAGTTGTCTTGGCCAAAGAAACTAAATATATTGTGACACGCTTCTGTTTGCATAATCCATGTGGGGACTTTCATACACTATGGTGATAACGGTTTGGGATATTATTTAGGAGAGCAGTGCATTCAAGGAGAGCGATGAGGGTAAGTCATCTAGTGCACATGGAACAGTGAGAAATGGACAGAAAGTTTTGGAGGGAAAACCCTAGAGAAGCAGACCACTTGGGAGACCAAAGTGTGAATGGGGAGATGCTATTAAGATAGATTTGAAAGAAATAATTTGGAACAGTTTTACTGGGTCTCTTTACCTTAGGATACAGAGCCATGATGAGCATGTGTGATCACAGTAATGAGCCCTCTCTGGCTTTCTCAACATATCCTGTCTTCATTCCTCTTCTCCCCCATGCCTGTTGTGTGAACTGCCCATCTCATGCTCCTTGACTTCATCATATAATTATGCTTGGTGAATGAAGGTTACAAGTTGTGGAGCTCTTTATTATGATGTTTTTAGGTACCAAAAAAGGAGATATTTTCTGTAATTCTGCAGTGAGGTATGAATCATGTAACGTCAGAAACTACCGCCATGTCCCTCAACTAGAACCCCACTTCATTCCTTTTCCCCCTCTCCTCCTGCCCTATGCTTGCACCCTTCATCCTTTCACCAGGGACTAGCAGGCTCGTCTGAACACTGCAAGGGGATTCTGCTGCACACCGTGGAAGAGTCTGGTGCTTGTCCCGTCCCCAAATTATTTCTTGAACTTTTTGGTTTGCTAAATTAACAGCGGAGTTGGTCCATGGTTTTACATTGTGCCATCCTCATCAGGGACAGTTTGTATTTTTATTTCACTCAACCAATTATATTATTATATTTATTTGGTGTGTGTATTGTTTAAAATATTTTTCTACCCCAAACCACTTTTCGGTCCTGGGCATTGGTACGTTTCAAAAAGTGGTAGCAGAGCGTGGTTTGGGTTATTTGTGTTTTGGTTTGCTTGTTGGGACGTTTTGACTGTTTCTATTCTGTTTTGTGTTGATCATGACGTCTGAGCCTCTACTGCCCGAGTACCTACACAAGGACGAGCTGCAATACGAGCTGGCAGCTCGGGGGATTTCGACGGAACGGTTGAATGTCGCCGCACTCAGATCACTACTCAGGACCTCCCGGGATGTGGAGGAAAACATCGAGCTCCTGAGGAGTATGAAATGTCTGAAGGATCCAGCAGCCACCATTTCCTTGATCGAGAGAAATTCCTCCAGATCAGGGAACTGGTGGAGAACACCGACAGCTCCCGCATTGCACTTGATTTCCCTCGCTGTCTACATCGACTCGTCCACCTGGG